AAGTGTTTCCCAAAAAACACTGTCCAAAAATATCCCTCACGTATTTTTTCTCCTCCGCTCGTTTTTAGGAAACCCATCCCTAAAAGACGGTAACACTGTGGCGCTCTCGTCTACATTTTTTTCTTTTTTTTTTCTGGTGTGGTGGTTTGTGCGTTCTTCCTCTGCTCTATTTATGGCAGGTTCGAGTCGGAATGCCGTGGTACAACTCTTCAAGTTGCATCCGCCCATGCACAATTCAAAACCATCACTGTTGAACTGGCTACTCCTATTTTTTTTTCTTACTTTCACACATGTGGGTCCCATTTAAGTGGGCACACCACAACACTTCCTATGATGCTCAAGCATGCCGTTTAATTTGCTTCCAATTGTCGTCGTGATTATTTGCATAAATTTATATTTCAAAAGATATTAAGAACTAAAAAGCCCGAGTATCAAACTATATTGAATAAAAATTTTAGTCCGATTCCAATTCTTTTCAGAAACCGAACAAACTTTTTGCGCAACTGTTATGTAATAAAACCATTTAATCAGTACATTTCAATATAACTAGTGTTCAAGAACATGCGATGCATGTTGTTATTCGTTGAATATATCCGTTAGAATGATTATTTATGATTTATTTATTTACAAAAGCAATATAAAAATTTAATATTTTTAGTTATAATTATTACATGTATAAAAATAAGTGCAAACCACTATCATACATATATAGTATTTGATGAAAAATTTTAATAATTTTTTACAGTAAATGTTTTGACAAAATGAAATAATTACAAAATTGAAAATAAATAACCATTTGATTCAAGATCTCGCCATATGTAGAAATAAATACATATATAAATTATTAGTAATATAATTCTTTTTTTTGTGATAGTATACCAAAATAAAAAAATAAAAGTGAAAATTAAAACCTCAGTCATTAATAATAATAAAGTGAGAAGTTTTCGATATAACAATAGCAAAAAAACTATTGATAGCATGATGGTAGAGAGTCTTTAATGAATTATTGATAATAAAAGCAAAAAAATTTTGATAGTAGCAAAAGAAAATATAGTTATTTGAAAGATTAAATTTTCAATTGAGTTATAATTTAAGTTATTTTGAAGAGATTAAATTTTTCAATTGAGTTATAAATTTAAATATTTTGTCCTTATTTTATCATAATAGTAGAATGTATATTTAAAAATCAAAGTATAATAAATTTTTAAACTAAACATATGCAAGCAACTTTTAACAAAAAAAGAGCATTAAAAATGGTAAAGAAATTACAATAAAAAAATTACAATCATGATTTAAATAAATTTTTTTAAAAAATTAACAAATTTATACTAATTGAAAATTGATCAAGAAATTTACTTAGCAGATTAATGATAAAATAATTAATATTTTTAATAGAATGAGAAGGCAAAAAGTAGCTAACAGTATTAACAAAGCAAATAAAAGAAAATATGAGGAAAGGAAAAGAATTTATAATTTATAAATTTAATTATTTAAAAATTTTTAATATAAAATCTTAAATCTTTTTGTGATAAAATTATAAATATAATTGATTTAATGTTGAATTCAATCAAAACTTCTACAATAGGATTTTCATTCCTGATTAAGGTCGGATAGAAATTTTTGGATTATATTTGATTTAATATTAATAAAACATTATAAACTTATATATATTATATATATATATAAATATATATATATATAATATATATATATATATATAATAATTTATATAAATATATAAATATAAAAGACTAAATTATTTTTAATGATATTTAATTAATCAACTAATAAAATTAAAAAAATTTTCTAATTAGAATAAGACTAAATTATTTTCCAATCAACCAATTAAATTAAAAGTCTGCAAGGGCATTATACTAGTCCTTTTTATGACGTGCGTTGCACGTTGACTATGATCGTTACATACTTATTTTTATAATTTTTAAATTTTTTATCTATATAATATTAAAGCATAAGTTTTTGTTTAGATTAAAATAAATACAAGTAGTTAATTTATATTACACTTTACCGTACAAGCTACTTGTAATGCTACTTTTTATGTATTTAATTTTATTTTTATATAATGAAATGGTCTCAAACTGAATTGATAATGGTAATCATATAATGGTAATCATTTTGACGAGTATAGTAGTATTACTTACCTAGTATATTAGATAAAAGAATATATGCACCCACACACAATTTCTTGAAACACCAAAAAGTGACCTAAAACGGAAATATATGGTTCTAGTTTTCTCCAGTTTCTTAAACACTATTTTCTTTCAAGTTAAAAAAATTTAGAATATCAAAGGAAAAAAACAAGAAAATTAAAAATACTTAATCATTAAGAGGTCATCTATCTATTGCAAGGAGACATAAATCTCTTATTCAATTAAAATGATAATAGTTATAAATTATTCAGTAATGAAAAAGAAAATAAAAAATTATTATGAAGAATAAAACTCCTGTAAGAACTCACCTAATAAAAAAATTCAATATATATAGATAGATATATAAAAATATCAAATATATATAATAAGATTTGATTAATGATAGTAGTTATGAATAAAATTTAAAATTATTAGAATTTATAACTATTTTTTAGCTAATAAGATTTGATTAATGTAAGTAACTAATATAACAAATAAAATTAAATTACGTAGAAATTAATATAATAAATTAAATTACTTTTATTTTTTAATCAATAAAATTAAAATTCTTATTAAAAATTCATTAAAAAATTATTATTATTAAAATTCTTAAAAATATTATATTATAATATGAATACAAAATAAATTGAAATTAGAATTGTTTTTTACTAGAAACAATATTATATATGTTCAAATTTTAATATTGTGTGGTGTCGTTTATTATTTTATTCAAATTTTTATATATTGAACCATATATATATATATGATTTTAACGTGTGGATATTATATAATTTTAATTAACCAATAGAAATAATGTTATATGTATTTAGATTATAATAATATTAGATCATATACATGCATAGGAATTCCATGTTATCGGAGCTAGAAGAAGTAGGTTGAGCATTTAATTCCTCAAATACTATTAATACTAAGACCTTTAATTTTACAACTTGCAATTATTCTACAAGAGATGTGAAAACTGTCAATTTATTCCTTAAAAAAAAAAAAACACTTAAATGCGGTTTTGATGGAATTCAAAATTTCAAAATTTTTAATATAAGTTAATTTGAATCCATTGTTTAAGAATTTGATTTTTAAATTTTAACTATTTTTGGGATTAATTTAATTCGAATTTATGTTTTTAAGATTTTTTTCTCCTTCTCTCTCCTAATCAAAATATTTAAACTTTACAATTAAATATTATAAATATTTTTTAAGATAATTTTTTAATTGGCTATCACTAAGACTATTTTAGGATATTTTAAATTGTAATCAAAATAGGAAATCTCATTATTCCGTCATTCCCACATATATATATATATAATTTGAAATTTTTATATATGCAAAAAAAATTATGATTTCTTATATTATAATTTAAATATTAAAATTCGTATGACTATCTTACTTATATCGAAATACTTGAAATAAAAAAAAATAAAAAATAAAAGATATTAATTACAATCCAAATAAAATTTAAACTTTTATCGATAAAATATAAAATGAAAGGAGGAAGAAAAGAGAAAAGGAACTGAAAAAAGGTTTTGAATTTTGGTTATAACTTTAGCGATGGGTAAAAATTCCATTTTTAACATGTTTGTAGAACCAGCTCTCAGCAACCGAAGAAAAAATTAATTTAGGTTATCACCTTAGAAACGGAAGCTTTTTCCGTTTCTAACTTGTTTATAGAACATTCATCAACTCTTCGCAACGGAAATAATAAAATAAGATTTGTAAATTGATAAAAATAATGTGAATAAGAAAACTAATATAATCAATCTAATTAAAAATTATTATATAATTTTGATCGATAAATAAAATTAAAATATTTCTAATTAGGGGGTTCATCTCTTTAAAATATTTCATGATAATGCTACTATAGAGAAAAAACTTATAAACTTGTAATTATTTACGATTATTAAACAATTACAGTAACAATAACTATAAATAAAAACTATTTTATTAATTTATAAATAGAGAGAGTTAAGGTTACACTTACAGCAAAAAGAAGACATGACTGCGAAATTAATAATTTCAAATTAATAAAAGTTTAATGTAAAAATTCTTGATAGTTAAAAGAAACAAATTCTTGATAGTCAAAAGCAATTAAAATTAAACATATATATAGAGGTATGATAGGATAAATTTTAAATCAGAATGAGATTAAATGTATAATATTAATATAATAAAAATAATAAATTGTAATATAATAAAAATAATAAATTGATATCATAATTAGAATATGATTAATAATGATAATTTTGTTAATTCATAAATTTCGTAGGGGCATTTTAGAAACCTAAAATTCTCCCTTCATTCGTACTTTTATATATATATTATAGATTGATCGTTGTTGCGTGATCTATTAAATAAGGAAATAACTTAATTTACATTTATGTTCAACAAAATTTTGTTGCTAAATTTTTAATACATATTCACCAAGTAGAATCGTCCAAATTAACCGCTTTTATTCGTAAATTCTAATTATAATGAGCCTTTTAAAAACAATCATAAGTTCAAAGAGCATGCACGTGGATGTCTAAATCAAAGAAAGGACAATGAATTTTGTAATGCTTTCACATTAACCTAATATTATTTTCACCAATAATTATAATCTAACATTCCTCTAGAAAAAGTTATAATAATAATAATAATTTCTTTTTAATTATAATGCTTATTTACTATGCACACGCATACATGTATATATACATTTATTTATTTATTTGAACATACCTCTAATCAATTTTATAGAAAATATAGAAAGATTAATTAAATTTTGGACCAATGGTATTTACATAATCTCTAAAATTGTGAGGACGTTGCAATTTTTAGTTAAAACAAATTAACAAAAACAAATGTAGGGAAAATGGATAATTAGCTTGCTATAATTTAATTATATCTTTTAATTGGAATATTACAATAAAGATGGAACAAGAACTTGACAAAGTTGAAACAAAATTACAGAAAGAGTTGAAGGCTTCCATCCCTTTCTTGTATGTCTTATATAGCTAGGTATTCTGGTATTCTGGTATAGTTAGTTAATTCTCACAAGATGGAACAAGGAAAGCAGGGATCAGGGTCTTTATAGCACACATATTGGTACTGTGGTAGAGGGACACTGCCCCCCCACGACACAGCGACGGGCACTTCAACTTTTTTTGGCTCTCCTACATCGCTCACGCTTACTAGCTCTGCGTGCACCATCTTACACTTTGGTAATACACAGGTGAGAAAGTTGGGCCATTTTGCTGACTTCTTCCTTAGCGAACTTGTAAGTTTCACTGGGTCTACCTGACTTCTTCCTTAGCGAACTTGTAAGTTTCACTGGGTCTACTCCTTCTCCGATCACTTCTAGCTGGTTTTTATCCTTTTCTCCTAAAGCCACCGATTGCACCCCTGCTCGATGCAATAATCAGCAAAAGTTTGTAAACATATAGAAGTAATTGAAACCAGGAACAAGAACCAATCAATTCTAAGCGTTTAGATAAAATTTCTGTGAGAATATATCAAGAACAAGAACCATTCAAACCAATTCATATCTCTAACAAGTTTACAGAAACACAAAAAAGCAGTACGCTGTTTAATTTGTAACTTACCATAAACGCCAACCGCTATTTCCAGAGCCCTTTTGCGAGACTTGTCGCTGTTCATGGAAACCTTGATCACCATCTTTTTCTGCAACGGTAGACAGAAAATTAAGCAATTTAAATTGCACTGTATATAAACAAAGTTTAAACAAAGTTTCCGAATGATCGATGTATGTGTAAATATATACGAACCGGCATGGTTTTAATTGTTGATTAGCTGGAGTTTACACCAAACTAATTAAAAGCTTCAAGTTTTGTGGATTAATGGCGGCGGTGGTGGTGGTGGTGGAGAAGGATTAGTTAGTGACTCTATTCTGCTGTGGACTAGGTATGGTTTGTCATGCTATTTTATAGGCATGAGGCCATTATTTTTTTTTTTTTTTAAGGAAGGCATGAGGGAATTTCTTTCTGTTCCTAAAATATACGTGTAATAAAAGTCAGCTAGTGGGCTTGCTTAGTTGAATGAACATTCTTAAAATCTTAGTAAAAATTTTAGTTTTGGCTAAAAAAAATAATTAAGAAATTAGATCTGTTACGATTGATTTTCTTACTAACGCAAAGAATAATACATCTACTATTACCATAACTATTTTACTTCTATTACTACCGCTGCTACTACCACGGTTATTTTTACTACTGCTATTGTTATCTCTATTTACTCCTTAGCTGCTACGACTCTCAAAGTTTAATAATTGGTATAAATGGTAAAACACAAATAATTAAATTAATTTACATAATTATAATAAGTGCGCAAATACCCCCATTTGGAAAAAAATAAATAAATTAGCAAGAGTAAGAAAATTTCCCCGTAATTGGCGAACAAAAAGCTTTCCATATTTAATATATAAATTAATATTTAATATATAAAAATTAGAAATGTTAATTTTTATTAATTTAATCTTGAATTATGTGTTGGTTAGATGTCAATGTCATGTAGAATTGCTGAATTAGAATGTTAAAAACAGGTAGGGTACTGACTAGTCTCTCCGTCTTATGGAAGTCCAAGCCAGCCTACCTCATTTTCCTATTTTATAATTTATTTCATACTTAAACCATTGACTGGTTCAATGAGTCAACAGACTAAGTCATATTTTATTATTTTTCAATTTATAATTAATGATTGATAATTACATGTATTTTTGTAATTACACAATAACTTCCAGCTTCATTTTTGCGGTGGATTAGAATTATATTTAATACATTTTATTCTTTCCCTCTATTTTATTTGCCATTTCTTAAAAGTTATTTAATTTAAAATTATTTATTTGTTTTGACAATATTATAGATTATTAATAATTTTATTCTTATTTTTGTTGAACAATTTTATTCTTATTTTTGTTGAACACAATAACTATTCTCTAAAATTTATCTTATTACTTTCCTCTTTCTCTATTTATTTTAGTGGCAGATTAATAGATAGAGAATTATTGACGATTGAGATTATAATTATTTCCATACATTATGTTATATAAAAATTAATGATTAAATTGTTATAATAATACTTAATTGTTACTTATTCTTTTTAAACAATTATATATATAAAATGATCACATTAAAATATTATTTAAAATGAAATTTTTATGGATAATTATTTCTATAAGGGTAATATAGTCCAAATATAACATATGAACATAACTGAGTTAGTTAATGTGAAAAAGTTTCAAAATACAACTTAATATGGACATAAAAATTAAATTTAATATTTTGGATCAATTAAGTCCCTGATTCATATTTTTCACTTTATTTACAATGCAGGAATCTTTATCTATAGATATCTACTAAAATTATAGTTGAAATTAGCTGTATAATTTATTAAAAAACTAATTAAATACGGGATAGAGGAAAATAATAGATTAACTGGTGATTTTTAGTTCATAAATATGTACTAATTTGAATAATTCAAGATTAATATTTATTACTGGATTATTGCATATGAAATCCATGCATTTATCATGTTGAATAAATTAAAGTTACATTACATGTTTTGTAAATGTACTGTGTTACAAATGATACTTTTATGAATTTTAAACTTCTATTTAGAGTATTTGAAAAGTTTGATTTGGATGCTCCTGATAAATTGAATCAATTTATTAATTTATAAAAACTGAAACAAGGTTAGTGGTGTATTTATTCCCAAAAAATTACCTAATATTAAAATAATACAATATGGAGGAAACTTAATCAATATCATATTTTAAACAAAGCAATCAACGGAAAGCTTTAGGGTCAAGTCAAGGGTATGCATGGAAATTCACTAGTGGATTGCATGCGATATGAATTCATATGTTTCATCAAAATTTTTTATGTATATATTATGTCCTTAACTCATATGTATTTTATCTAAAAAAAAACAGTCTACTGATCCCTTGTAATATTTAAAGGAGTTTAAAATTTTATTTTTATTCTTATTTTTAAAATAAAAAAAAAAGAATGGAAGTACTTTTAATTTGCAATTCCATCTTTAATTGCGATTGAGGAATTGAGATAAAATTGATAGAAACATCAAAATAGAATGAAATTATAAAAGTATGCAAAATTCGGGATACTTATGCAAAACCAACTCAAAAGATGAAAATTGAGATAAAATTGATAATGCAAAACCATCACCATTTTTTGCTGCAATAATGGACAGAAAATTAAGCCATACAGATACAAAGTTAATATACGGACCTTCATGGTTTATAGGCCTCTTCTTGAATGTATTATCGATGAGGGCATTTCTCGGATTAGCAACTTTTCTTGTTTTGTAATTTTGTCGTTTTCTTTTATATATTCCTTCAGTCCATGTGATCCATATTTCAAACCTTTCATTGGTCTGATCCAAAATTACCAATTATGTGGCAAGTACAGGTCTTAAGAATTACAGTTTTCAGGGAATTATTTTCTGGATAGAATAATTTACATGTGTTTGGTAAGAACATCAACTTCATGGATAATAAATGCAAAATACAATAATGTTTATTATATAAATTTAATTATATTTAAGTAGTAAGATAAATTTGTGAGTTCATTGCATTTAACAAAAAACTATAACTTTCCTATACCTAAAGGAGTTATTTCCGAGAGAGTTAGGAGATCTTTCTCTAAAAAGGTGGAATTGATATCATAAATCAAACAAAAACATTTTATATATAGAAAGTTACACTTATTCGGTCTATTTATTCCAACAAAATATTATAGAAGTCTTTAAAATGCTAAATTTAATGAGGATAACGTTTCATGAAATACTACCTTAAACTCTAAAAGTACAATAGATATGACATTACCGAACACAATAATTAATTAAAACAGTATTTTAACCCAATTAAAATACTAAACAGTACTCGAAATACTCTTGCCGAACAGAGCCTGAATATCATTAGTATTGTGCTAACAGTGTTCGAAACTATATTGTATTATTAGTTAATATTATAAAAATTGATTTGATAGTGGATGGAACATTCTAAGTAAATTTGTGACCTTCTATAATAAGACAAAAAATAATTAATATGTAAGGACCACTTATGCGTTCATATTAATATTATTAAAATTGATTTTGGTTCGTTGAAGGAACCTTCTATTCAAATTTTGACCTTCTATTATATTTTAAGAAATAAATACTTGTCTCACAAAAAAATAAATAATTAAAAAATCAAGGACAGTTTATGCATTCATATTAATGGACCGTGAAAATGATTAATTAATTTAATTAATTCTTTAATTCCAAAGTTTTACTGTCATGAGTGATTAAGTTCCCATAAACAACTAATGTTTCGGTGCTAATAACAAATAAAAACTTGATCATATAAATAAAAATAAAAATAAAAAATTAATATTTAGTTTCTGAAATTTGAGTTAATTATGATATTATAAAAAAATATAACCAGTCTTTTATGTTTATTTATGTTAATAAAATAGTTTATCTAAGAATTGGAAACTGCATGCACAAATTAGGTATTTGATCTATCCGAATCCGTTTAAAATGAAATTTTATTATTCATTCAAACTCTATTACAATTATGTTTGATATCCAAACCCATTTAAATATTGTTCAACATTAAAAATGTTAGTTTATTTTTATTTTTAAAGATAATATAAATAAAAATCATAAAATTCAATTTTAATGACTTAAAATTATGGCACTAATACTGTAATTATAAAGTTATATTTATAATTTTTTGAAAAAATAATTACTTTAATATTTTAAAATATTAATTAAATGAGTAATGGGTAGCAGTTATAATTCAATATCTATTTCTACTTCTGATATTCCAAATTTAAAAATGAAAGGTGTTGATTATAGTAATTCTATACCACAGGCAGTTTATAACCCTGTAGATAATTATGTAACTCAACTTATAGTAATTCTATACCAAGGCAGTTTATAACCCCTGTAAGATAATTATGTAACTCAACAAATCAACCTTAGTTAATTCACCTGATACAACAGCTTCAGCTATCACTAAATGTTAGTGATATAAACAGAGAATTAAATGTTCTTAGTAAAATAGATATTGAGAAAAGCTTAATAAAAGAAATATCTAAAACTAAAAATTTACTTCAAATGAAAAAGATATTAAAACTTTACACTTTTGAAGAATTAAAATATGAATATTTAGAATATAAAATAAATAATCAAACTAAAATTAGTTTCTTTGATTGGTATAAATTAATTAAAGAAAATAAATCTGAAAAAGATTTAAACCCTATAACAATTAGAGATAAAAGACCTGAATAGATAGTAAATGAACAAACCATAAAAAGTGATTTTCCTCCTAAAACAATTAGTAAATTAAAACATCAAGATCATGAAATTATCTGTGCACCATATAAAGTTGCTCAACGATAATGATGAATAAAAAGATAATTGGAACAAAATTAACTTTAGTAATGCAAGTTTTAATTTTGTTTAAACTCAACAATTAAACCCGAATAGAACATATGTTAGAAGATAAACCTTTAGTGGGTCAAGAAACATAAGGAAAAGAACTTGTAAAAACTCACATGTTTTAAACTTATCAAATTATCTCAATCAAGTAAACAGAATTTGTAAATAAATAAAAGATAATTGAGTAAATTTGAGGTTTCAGTCAGCAACTTAAATAACCTATAGCTCCTTAACACTACTGAAGCTCTAGAAATATAAACATTATGAAGAAAACCCAACCTCTGATGACAGCGACCTGACTTCAGAAGATGCTGAAACAATCTATTACTACTAGCCGATCTACATAAGAAAGGATCCATTTTATAATATACGATAAAATTTTTTGACTACCTGGTTATACCCTTCTTGGTTATACCCGCTAGATGCCACTCACATGGGACTTACTCATGGGTTCAGTAAGCATGGGTTCAATAGGCAAAGCCAAAACCTTTTATTATATATCATAAAATGAAGACTT